AGTACTGCAAAGGAAAAGCCGGGTGGGAATGTCCACGGCACTGACGGATGTCCAGCCCTGCACTGGGTGACTCTGGGTCTTCCAGAAGCCCCCAGGCTGGGGGATCACAGTAGGGCACAGATTGCCCCAGCCCCTGGTAGACTCCCCTAGGGGAAAGCATGGCCCCCCTCCACTCTCTCCAGGGAGGTGGGGCAGGTGGCGGTGCCCAGAGACCCTGGCCCCTCCGAGATGCCCAGGAGGGGAGGAACATTCCTTCTCTCATTGTTCTCAAGAGCTGGGAGGGTCCTGGGAGAAAGAGCCTGGAATCCCGAGCAGCCCATTTTACAGGGAGGGAAAATGAGGCCCTGAGAGGGGCAGGGACTGACCCCAGAGTAGCACACTGAGTTGGGATTCACAGTCCAAGTGTTTTCACTCAAGGCCAAGCCCTGCTCCGCACTCCCCTGACACGCCAACCCCCTCACCATGACATAATGTCGCTGCATTTCAGTCTTCTCGCTGGCCAACTTCTCGCATTCCAGCTTGAGGCTGGGAAGGAGAGAGGGCATGGGGACCCCGCTCTCTATGACCCACGAAGAGAGCATTATGGACACCCCAGAGACACCCCATCTGCCCCCGCGGACACCCCATCTGATGGGTTTGGTTCTCCCCCTCCCCACTTCCTTACACCCCAGCTCCCGGTCCCAATTCCTCCCCACCCCTCCCCAGACTCGAAAGGTCTTAGCACCCACCCGTCTCCACCCACCTCACCTGCCCTCCTTCCCCCTGGAAGCTCGCTCTCCTCCCCCTTGTGGGGGGCTGCCCTCCGCCCCGCACCCTGGAGGCCCCGCCCCCGTGTGGCCCCGCCCCTCTCCCGAGGGTCCCAAATGAGCTCGCAGGTGAGCTCCCGGGTCCCCCTCGGCCGGCGGGGCGCCCCGCCCCCCTCACCTGTGGTACTGAGCCTGAAGGAACTGGAATTCCTCTTTGATGCGGTCGCAGATCTCCAAGATCGAGAACTTGAAGGGCTGGCCGGACTGAAGTGGGGTCTGGGGGGAATGTCGGGGGTCTGAGTTCCGGGGCGCCCGGGTCCCCCACCCCCGCAGCCCTGGCCCCTTCTCACCGGGTGCCTTCCCTGGGGGTACATCCTGCCGATCCGGGAAGACCCCTCGCGCCGGAGTGTGACAATGTCGGAAGGGGGG